AATCATAGAATCATAGAATCATAGAATATCAGGGTTGGAAGGGACCTCAAGAGGTCATCTAGTCCAACCCCCTGCTCAAAGCAGGACCAATTCCCAACTAAATCATCCCAGCCAGGGCTTTGTCAAGCCGGGCCTTAAAAACCTCCAAGGAAGGAGATTCCACCACCTCCCTAGGTAACGCATTCCAGTGCTTCACCACCCTCCTAGTGAAATAGTGTTTCCTAATATCCAACCTGGACCTCCCGCACTGCAACTTGAGACCATTGCTCCTTGTTCTGTCATCTGCCACCACTGAGAACAGCCGAGCTCCATCCTCTTTGGAACCCCCCTTCAGGTAGTTGAAGGCTGCTATCAAATCCCCTCATTCTTCTCTTCTGCAGACTAAACAATCCCAGTTCTCTCAGCCTCTCCTCATAAGTCATGTGCTCCAGCCCCCTAATCATTTTTGTTGCCCTCCGCTGGACTCTTTTCAATTTTTCCTCATCCTTCTTGTAGTGTGGGGCCCAAAACTGGACACAGTACTCCAGATGAGGCCTCACCAATGTCGAATAAAGGGGAACGATATGGGGTATGGAACGGCTTCCATATGAGGAGAGATTAATAAGACTGGAACTTTTCAGCTTGGAAAAGAGACAACTAAGGGGGATATGACAGAGGTCTATAAAATCATGACTGGTGTGGAGAAAGTAAATAAGGAAGTGTTACTGACTCCTCATAACACAAGAACTAGGGGTCACCAAATGAAATTCATAGGCAGCAGGTTTAAAACAAACAAAAGGAAGTATTTTGTCACACAAGGCACAGCCAACCTGTGGAACTCCTTGACAGAGGATGTTGTGAAGGCCAAGACCATAACAGAGTTCAAAAAAGAACTAGATACATTCATGGAGGATAGGTCCATCAATGGCTATTGGGCAGGGATCGTGTCCCTAGTTTCTATTTGCCAGGAGCTGGGAAGGGGCGACGGGATGGATCACTGGATGATTCCCTGTCCTATTCATTCCCTCTGGGGCACCTGGCACTGGCCACTGTCGGAGGGCTGACCCAGCCTTGCCGTTCTTATGGTATTATGTTATGCCATGCAGCTGGACCAGGATGGGTTTCCAGGCTGCCCCGTTTGGCCTGTGGGGGAGGGCTACTCTGGGGAGGCAAGAGGGGAATCTGGTCACGCCAGCTTCACTGACATTTTGACACGACGTGCTGGCATCCCGATGTGATGTCGTTGTCATGGCGATGACCTCATGCAGTGATGTCACCATGTGCCATGGCAGCAGCATCTGGGGGACACCTGTGTTCCTCCCCCGTCAGATAGGCCGGTGGCACAGCCCTCCTGTAAGTCCAGTAGCCACCTGCCCGCTCCCGGGTTGCTGGTGCAAGAACAACGCTGCGTGGAAAGAGATTGCAATGATTTGGGGGCGGAGAGACTCAACCCCTCTGCAAACCAGCCCCAGAGCACCCCCCATTGAGTCCCCAGTCTAATCGCTCTCTCTCCCTCTCCTCCGGCCGGGCAGCGTGTACCCCCCCATCACCTCGGACGGCATTCGCCAGGAATACAAGCAGGAGTTCGACGCCGACCTCAAGCACTACAAGCAGCTGTGCGCCGAGATGGACGACATCAACGACCAGCTGAACCAGCTCAGCAAGCAACTGGACGGCTTGTCGGAGGACAGCCCGCAGTACCAGGTGAGCATGGGGCCAGGTCCGGGCTGTGCTTCACCGACTGACGTGGAGTCCAGAGGCGTTGTATCACGGTAGCGCCTCTAGGGCTCGGCTCAGCAGAGCTCAGGGCCCAGTTGTGCCTGGCGCCGCACAGACGTCAAAGAGCTCACAGGCTAAACAGACAAAGGGGGCGTTGTCGCCCCATTTTGCAACCAGGGAACTGAGAACCAGAGAGATTCAGTAGCAGAGACAGGAACTGAACTCAGGTCTCCTGATTCCCAGCCCAGTGCCTTATCTACAGGGCATCCTTCCTGCTACTTCACCCCTCTGCAGAGGGACCAGCACCGAGGGGGATGTAAGTCTCATTTGATAGCTGATGCTCGTCTGTTTTGTTCAGGGACCCACCCTGCCCCTGTGGAAGCCAACAGGGAATTTTGCCCAATCAGTGCGAGCTGGAAGACCTCTCTTCTTCTCCTTCCCGAGCTCTAGGCCGTGCTGATTCCACCAGCATGCAGTGACAAGCTGCCTTGGGAAGATTTGCTTTCTGCAGCGGGGCTGGCTTTCCATACAGTAGCCTGAAAGGGCTTCTTTGTCAGCCCCCGCCTGGCGCCATCACCTGTGCTCTCTCGTTAGGTACACTGCCGAGTGATGACTCTGGAGTAATTATCTGCTGTGCACATAACATGGCCCTCTCCTCCCGGTTTTTCTTTTTCAGGGAGTCGCCGAGGAATACAACCGGCTGAAAGATTTAAAACGGGTGAGTCGCCAAAACCCAGCTTGTCTCTGTGCATATTCTGTCTGTCTGATCTCCCTTGGGGATTTGTGTGTCTGTCCAATTTCCCCTAGCGATTCAAATAGCATCCCAGAGTGAGTGTCCTCAGACAAGGCCTTAGCCATTTCCCACTTCAGCAGCCTTAAAACTTATCTACACATGCAAGCGGCACCGGCTTAACTTAAATCAGTTTCAAACCCAGATGTGATTAAACCACTGAAAGCCCCTGTGCCGGCGTGGATATTGGCTTGAATCTGGTTCTGTCGGTTTAGCTGTCAATTTTCCTAGGTGAGCGAAATCATCGGAATGAGGCTTAAACCGCTGTCAGGGTGTCCACACACAATGTTGCACCAGTTCTCGGTTTAAAATCTCGTGTTGAGTTAGAGCGGGGCAGCTCTGTGCATGTAGACCAGGCCTTGGGGTGACTGATTGTCTTTTCCCCCCTTTTAAGTGAATGTGTTGCTCCCATGAAGGGGTCTGGACTGAGAGCCCGGAGCTGGAGTTCTGTGTTTCTTCCCAGGGCAGGGGCAGCGTGGCTTTAGTGTGTGTGTGTGTAGCCAGCCATGTGGCTGGAAGGGCCCTGCTAGGGGTGGGAGGTTCGCTCCATTCTGTGTGCCTGGTCCTGAGCATTGCTGTGCACACGCCGTTCTCACTGAAGGTGGTGGGGTACCCCCCAGAATCAGGCCCCCATTCCCTAGCCTGGGCTGGGAGGAAAAGTCCCATGCAGTGGGTGCTTTTGTGACAGCCACCCTCTGGGCTGACATTGAACTGGGGACCTCCAGAGCTAAAAGTAGGAGCTGCTACAGATCCCTGGGAGGAAGGAAGGAGGGTGGGCGGGCGTTGTAACAACTCCCGTCCTCACGCCAAGGGGGCTTGTAACACTCACCCGCCAGTGGGTTACACTCTGTAATGAGGAGATCTGTCATCTAGGACCCAGGCAATGCACATGCTTGGCATGGCCCAGGAGCCATCAGCTGGTTAAATACTGCCAATCCCTCCGTGCCTGGGACAGATTCAGATGCATGACCTGGAGTGCAATGCCCTGCCTCCCTTTGCGGTGCCCCTGGCTGGCTGGTTCGGTGTTGGATTACGCGCTGCGGCGCAGCTTGAAATACAACATGCTTCAGTGAGCTGAGACGGAGGAAAAACACCTCCTGCTTTCAGAGTTGTCTGGACGGCACCGTCCAGTGCCAGCCTTGCCCTCCTACAGCCCGCGGCACAGCAAGGGGGCCTTCTTCACTCAGCCGATCTGCTCCCTGCCGTGGCGGAGCTCCCTGGCTTTGGATTATTCCCTTGAGCCTCGCAGAGTCAGCCCAGCGGCGCGAGGGGGTTCCACTGGGGTTCATACATCCCAAAAGGCAGCTTCGTGCCAGTTGCAAAATCTTTATTACCGGGGAGCGTGCACAAGGCAAGAAGGAACCCGGCGCCCTTCTGGGATCCCAGGTTGCTTTTGCAGCACAGGCATAAAAATCTCTCTGTTTACTTGCAAATGGAGGGGGCCTGAGCTGGGATCACAGTCAACATGTGGGGGTTGGACTCAGAACATCAAACGTTAAGTACCAGATTTTCAAAGGGGACCAGCGCGCATTTAAGCACCGAAGGGCGCAGTCCATTGGGTGGTCGGCATTTTCTTAAATCTGGCCTCAGTCGTGGGCACCGAGCCCTTGAAAATCTGGCCCTGAATTCTTAACATTTGCTCTCCAGAAGCATCAGCCTGTGCCACTTGAGCTAAAAACATAACTCCATTAGCTGGTAGCAATGGGAGGCTCTTAACTTCTTACGCGGACCAGCCACTAGATGGCGACACATAACACATGCTGAACCAGCTCCCACAATGCTTAGTGCTTCCAGAGCACAGCTGCATTGGGGAGCCGGAGAGAATGGGCCCCCTGTTCCCTGCGACGTTCTTAACGCCTCCTCGTTTCTTGCTCTCGCTTCAGACTCCTGATTATCAGACAAAGAAAATGGAGACCAAAGCTCTGCGGAACAAGCTGTTCCACATCAAACGCATGGTGAGCGACTACGATAAGATGAGAGGGTAGTGCGGAAAGCGGAATCCTTTGGAGGGGGAAGAAATTCTGCGTGTGGTCAGCTGACTTCCCTCCGCGAAGCGCTGCAGGAAATGCCAACCACCTGGACGAAAAACAGATTTCGTTTTGTTTTGTACATTCGTTTCCAAAGCAGAATCTCTCTATCTTTGTGCCATTTCCAAACCGAAACCCGACAGGTCTCGGCGAGCGGGGCAAGAGGGCGATTTTTAGAACAGAAATGAAACTCCGAGGAAGTTTGCGCTCTGGTTTGAGGCCGGTGGGCCCGTATTCTACAATGACCTAAGCAGAAATCCTGGCCCCACTGAAATCAGTGACTTCAATGGGGCTAGGAGATCACCCTTGGTGCTTACGTTTATGCTGCGAGTCATTAATTCAATAGAACTGAGCATTAAGCGTGCTCCCGCAGTTGCTGCAGCCTCAGTTTGTACGTGGGCAGATGTAAATTTGTAAATACGTGGGTGTGTATATAAATTAGCCTCCTGTTTTATACGATCAAAGGGTGAATCTCTCTGTAGCATGCTCCCATGCTGGTCCCCATCCTGCAAGCCCTTACTCGCCCACGAAGTCCCAGTGAGCTCAGTGGGACATCCCTTGGGAGCGAGGACCCACGGTGGGTGAAATTCACCCTGGGCAGAGGGGTTTGTACAAGGCCTGTGCACCACTGACACCCCCTGAGCACGGTGGGGGGAATGCGGCTCCATTGACCTCTGTGGGGATCGTGCCATTGACTTCAGCAGAGCCTGGATTTCACTCCATGATGGGGACTTTGTGCTGCATAAGCCTGATGCTGGATCCCTGCCCAGGAAAGGTTTGCAGGATTGGGCCCATGCGCTCTGGACTCCTGCCCCCTCTTAGATTCCTGTCGTCATTCCCCTCCATCCGTCCCAATGTGATTCAAAGCCAGGAGGATGGGAGCCCGGCGGCTGGAGCCCAGGCCTGTTTCGCACGCCACGCCAGCCCGCAGTAAGGAGCCCATTGCAGCCAGCTGAGGGTGACGGCCTGTCTCCCACCACCGCAGCTGAGATGTGTGCAGCCAAGCTGAGCGTGAACGCAGACCCAAGCTCCCGAGATTGTCCCGGCCCCTCACCTCCCGCCCCGTGCTGCAGAAGTGTCTCTCGGGGAGCTGACAACTGAGTGCCGCGGCGGCTGCATTTCACCGGGATGAATAATACATAGGGAACTCCTGAGTCACCCAGCGCAGCCGGCTCACACTCCTGACAACTTGACAAGCCAGGGCTTGGCCGCCCCCCAGCAAGAGCCCATGCTAGGCATTGTGTGAGGAGATTTCACGCTCGCACAGGCATCACGGTGCCAGTCTTAGAATAGCCCCCTCAGCTGCCACGGTTTTCTAGAGCTGGACGGCACGGTGCGAACGTCTGAACACGATTTTTTTTACCGCTGCCAGCACTTCCTATGCCAGTGTGCTATTCTGTAGGGAACTGGGTATGATGTCGGGGGTTCTTTTTTTTAATAAACTGCATCTATTGATTTCAAATTTCAGCATCTTGCTGTAAAATGAAACGCTTCTCCCTTTCCTTCCTGCATCGGCGTGTGTCTTAAAAAAGAAATCCCCGTCTGTTTAACTGGCTGCAGCCAGAGTCAGCGAGTGTTTGGTCGCTGGGACGAAGCACTATTGGGAGGTAGAAATTGGGCAAGGGAAGAGGTTACAGCAGAAGTGCATTTGATACAGTCACTGCTGGCCTCCAGCCTGTCCACCCATCGCTGTGGTATCATCAGAGCAGCTTCTAACCAGTCATGACTTTATGCTCCTGACAGCCCATGTGGGGGGGTGAGACTCCTCACCCCCCGTTTGCCAGGCGAGGCCCCAAGGCCCAGAGCGACGCAAGGGACGAGGTCACGCAAGGCGTCTGGGGCAGAGCTGAAATGTGAACCCCAACCTCTCCCAGTTCAGGCCAGTGCTTTACCCACAAGGCCAGCCATGCTCTGCCAGCGAAGTTCCCACTCCCAGCCACCCCAGGGTTGCATTCTTATCACATGCCTTGCTGGGGGGGCGGCCCTATACATTTGGCAGAGAGAAGCTGCTGGAACCCTAAAGTGGCCGTTTGCCTGCTGCCTCTCGGGCCCTGCGGGTGAGTACTGCTAACCCTGGGTGCGTCCCCTTTCACGCCCTTCCTAGAGCCCTTTGAGTTCTGCAGGCCAAGCGAGCCAGGACAGGTTGAGAGGGGGTTGGTCTGTGGGCGTCTTGACTCCCGTTTGGTGCAGTCTGGTGGACTCAGTCCCCTGCCCGCCCAGCGGTCTCCCTGTGGGCTGCTGCCCCATGTGACCTGCATACGCTGCAGATAAGGGTTTCAAGGCGCAGTTAGTGTCCGGTAAGGTCAGATAGCAGCTGGGACTGGGGAGGAGCCATTAGAACCATGTGACCAGCCCTTGTCTTGCCCACGCTTTGGATTTTGATTGTGGGGTGTTTTTCTTAAAGCACCTGCACCTGGAGGCATGGGATTCACGAGATTTGGTTTCAAGAGAGAAGCCTCTAGCCCTGGTGGGTGCAGAGAAATTGCTTGAAAATCATGACCCCTAAAGGCTCAAAAAAAACTGAAAAGAAATTGAGGGAGGGGGAAACCCTCCCCCAAAACGTATCATTCTGTGAAAGCGCCTGATTGTCTTTAGCTAATCTCCTGATTTCTGGGAGCGGGGGGAGGTGACGCGTGGCACTGGCTGCTCATCCTCTCAGTCCTGTAGCTGCTGTCAGAGCTTTAAGCGGGATGAGGGTCTGCTGTGCTCTGCCCCATGGGCTCGTTGGGGGGGGGGGCGGCTGCTGTATCTTGGGGGCTGTGACAGTTAGCAGTGCCACACACACACACACACACTCTCTCTCTCTCTTACTTTCACCGGCCAGATCCCTCAAGCTGCTGCACTTCATTCTCCATGTCCTAAAGCAAGCTGTTCTACACTGTGAAACGGCTGCTGCGTTCCACCCCAGACATGGCTGCCGGGGCGGGGCAGTGTGTGAAGCACTTTGAGCTGCTGGCCACGTGAACTATTGTCTATAAATTACTTCAAACCCCAAGGCCCTTCTTGCCCAGACGGCTTCTGAAAAGTAGCTTTAGTCCTAATCCCGCTGCAGGAATTGGGAGCCTGAACCCTGCCTGCATTTTAATCCTCAGTCTTTGCCCAATTTTACTGCAAAAGCCCCAGGTTTAGTCACCTGCACGATTACACCACTGAATTACGCGCAAGAAAGTGGGGGGGGGAGGTCTTGTCACCCTCCCCGATACCTACGTATAATGGTTGCATTAAATGGACTTGACTTGTCTTTTCCATGGCCCTGCACCTTGTGTGCACATTTTCACAAGGGCAAAGTAGGGAGGATTTTACAACCCATGAAAACCGTCATGTTTTACACCCACATCCTACTGGTGTCAGGGCCGGTGCAAGGTGCAGTGGTGAATTAGGCCCAAATCCCTTTACAGACAGGGTTGTAACTCCCCGTTGGCTGGGGGAGTACGGGGTTTGGGGCCCTATCATACAGAATGCTACTGTAACACCATCCCGGACAGCAGCTCAAGTCCGCTCCACGGAGAGGTGTGGAAAGGTTAGATTTGTATTGGTAAATGTCGGGAAACAGCCATTTACCCAAACGCTCCCACAACCCGACAACACAATATGGCCATTGAGCATGGCCATTCCCAGATAAGCAGAACAAGCCACATGCTGCCCGAGAGCGTGAGCGTGGGACGTAAGAGTTACAGTGTCGAGGCTGCTATGTGACGTCGCCCACTTGTGATTTACGTTAGAGAGCTAGCATGAGCCGCCCTCTGGCCTGCCAACGTCACACACAGCCTCAGCTAGTGCTGGGCACCCAGGCCAGGCCAGGGGCTGCTCAGAGTTGGCTCCGAGCTCAGGACCAGGCGGCTTTGGGTGGGCAAGGGCTCAGAACTGCCACGCGGCAGCGGCATTTCGGGTGCTTGGAAAATTCCAGCTGGTGGCGGGGTTAGGGGGCAGCTGAACAGTGGCATCGAACTAGCAGACTTGGGCAGCTCATGGGGCCGAGAAGTGCCCAGGCCCAGGGCCAAGAGCCCAGGCAGCAGGAGCAGAGACTGTCTCTACCCCATCTAGCCCCTAGCAGGGGACAAGGAGTCATGGCATGATACGGGTCACGCTATTGGGTCCAGTAAAGTCTATTCCAGAAGAAGGCACCACCCAGAAGCATAAAACACACTTTTATTATTGTGATTCTTTGGCTGAGCCCTTTTCTAAGGAGGCCTTTGCAGGCGTGCTTTCCCTGGAGACAATCAGTCCGACAGCGGCAGTAACACTCTGCTTTGGTGATGGGGGAAAGTTCATTTCCCAGCCCCTTAGGGACCCGGAACGGGGTGTCGATTCCCAAGCAGGATTCAGGGGCGCGTCTGGTTCTTATTTCTGAACAGAAAAATCGCTTCGGGGCACCCAACCTGACTTGAAAATTTCAAGTATCATCGCTCTGAGCTGGTTTTGCCATGTGTGATAATATCCCACAATGCCCCTGGGTGACCAAAAAGCCCCTGCTCTCGGGGATTAAGTGCAATCGGGTTTAGTGTTAAGGCTCTTTGCATAGAACAGCAGAATCCAGGGCCTCGTTTTTTTCAAGGGCGACTAGAGATTTTGGGTGCCACCATTTCTGGACGCCCTCAAAGGGGGCTCTGCTTTCAGAGCTCACCCAGTCCCTGCTTTCTGAAAGTCATGCCCCTTTGAGATGTCCCCAGAATCCCTAGTCGCACTTGGAAAATGCAGGTTCAGGGTCCTAGTCGCCTCCCCAGTAGGAAAGCGCTTTGGAGCAGCAACGTGAATGTGTAATAACAACATTTAGCGCTTCATCGCTCCCAGGCACCTGGCAACCATGGCTTAACTCCAGGCAAAGCGAATCCGCAAGGTGGCTGCAAAGCAGCTGTTTCTCCGGCCTTTAAAAACCAGTGGGTGCCAGTGTGTTTAATGGAGAGCCTCCGGAGACGGAAACGAGATCGCTCCTTGGAAGGAGTTTTTAGGGGAGTTGGATCAAAGATTTGTGTAGCTGCTGTGCTGAAAAGTCTCCTGCAATCTATACTGAAGTGGGGGAGGCAGGCATTCAAAATCCAGGCAGCTCATTCCCACCCCAGCACGTATGGTCGAAGGCCAGTGCCTTCCCCCCTCCCCTCCAAACCGAGCCCCCCTTCCTAAGAAACATCTGCATTGACTTCAGTTAATGGGGTTAGAATCAGGGCTCGCTCTAAATGACAAGTCCTCCACCCCTCTGGCTTTTGTTTACTCAGAGATCCCATGTCTGTGCTGAGCCTGTTTAAAACAAGGATACTCAGGCTTGCATCACTGGGGAGCAGGTTGGAAACTGAGGCAGCACTGGGGAGCAGCATGGCTACTGGGGCAGAGGCCACTCGGTTCCAGGAACGAGGTCTGCCCCAGATCTGCCTCGCTCTGCACTGACCCCCCCCCCCCCACTAGGTTCTTTCTGCAACAGCAATTCCCACGGGTACCAGCAATTGCAACAGGACAAATAAACCATGCCCCACTTACCGGTTTAGCGCCTAACCCTGAATCTGGGCCAGCCCTGCCCTTGCAAAGAGTGATTTACCCACTACCTGGCCTGGATTTAATAACTGCTGCCTGCTTTTCATTTTGCCATGCAGAGATTCTGCTTCAGATGTGCGCAGCCTTCAAGCTCACTACCTCTCCTCAAAGGCTCAGCAGAATTAGGAGAGGGAAACAGCTCGGGGCGGGGGGAGGGAGAGACGCTGTTTCCTATATACAAGGGTCTGTGGTATAAAGCGGCTGCTAACTTTCCCCGACAGGATCACAGGCGGAGCGGGACTGGCTTGAGCTGAGCTGAGCGATGTAAAATATAGAGTGAGGAAATGAATGGGAGGGGAGGGGGGAAAGTCTCCGCGCCGGGCCAGGAATCGTGTAGCTAGAGCCAAGGTGAATTCGGGCTGAACGGCAGGGAAGTGCCACTGCCTGCAGGGGTCGAGGGAAGCAGGCAGGTCAAAGCAGTGGAGCGCCGGTCCAGGGAACAATTCCCCCATGGAAGGCCAGACTGGATCTGACCTGTGGCCTGGTCAGCCCATGGCCAACACCTGGGTTCTCCCTAGTCGTTGCGTTAGATGCAGGTCTGACTGGGTAACAGCATCGGGCCTGGGGCAGCAGCTCAGATACATCACAATGGTCCCTTTGGCCTTGAAAGCGGAGATGATGCAAGAACCCACGTGAAAGCCTAACGTGACCCCCTCCTTCCTTCCCCAGTCCCTGCCCCTGGCTCATCCCTGGAGCGTACGGCTTCATCTCCCTTCCCAAACTGGGTTGTTTTAACCCGTCTGACACGGGGTAGTTCTGTTATTCCCTCTAATTGTCTGCCATGGGCTAGGGGACAGGCCCCTCGCTCTCTCCCCCTGGTCTACGTTCTAGGGCTCTTGCCAGAGACGGCTGGTGGCTATTTTATCTGACATCTGTCATTTAGCTCGTGCACAAAAGGCAGACATGGGGGGAGGAGAGGCCTGCAGCCCCGGTCGC